TATCATTGCATCATTCTACCAAGAAGGCAAAGCGGACAATTACAACCGAGACAATATCAAAGGGATAACTGACATCTGAGAGTCAGTGAACTGAAATGCACTAGAAAGAGGCACCTTATATCACAGGAGTGTCAGATATTTTACAGTGGATGAGAAGCTAAGAGACTAAATGTAATGAACAATACTGTTAACAAGAGAGTGTCAATGTTGGTGGTTGGATATAAGCCCAAGACTAACACACTGCTCTCCATTTGAATCCAAGGCAAGCCAATCAATATCAGAGTGATCCAAGTCTATATTGGCGGAATCAGGATCAGACTCTTGATTATTTCCAGATTCCTGAGGTAACATTTGTCTGGAGTGGGCAAGTCAGAGTCTTCTGACTTTGTGCAAACAATAACAGTCGGGATGGATGCAGCACTCATCCTAGTCTTGCCACTGGTTAACTACCAGTGTGATTGAAGCTATCTCAGTGCTATATTTTGGTCTGAAACCCAACTGAAATGGGGCCAGATAATTTATTTCCTTCATTCCTGGAGGTGCAAGTTAACAATCTTCTCTAAAGAGTTAGGTGTTCACATAATGTATCCAAAAAATCATAAATTTGAGTCATTTATGCCTCGAGTGAAAACTTTAGATTGATTTCTTCTACTGCCTGATCTTTTTGTTATCACTTTGCTATCTATCCATGATATTCTCAAGGGTCTTCTCCAGCATCAGTGTTCAAAGGTATCAATATTTCTTTGATCCTTTCTCCTTCCATAGAGTGCCACAGGGAAAACCATTCTCTGCATGATTCAAACCTTTGTAGATATACCATAGACACATCCTGACACATGAATGTTTTTTCCAAAGCTTTCATTGCTATTCAGCCAGCTGCTAGTCTGCAGCCTATTTCTTGATTTTTCCTTTACTATTCCTAGTTGATCCCAAAAGGCAGAAGCTATCCACCTTCAGTATCTTCATTGCCAGCTTCCTGTACATGTTGTTATTAGTATTGTGCTTTGTTATATTTTAAAGCTTAGCCTCATCTTTTCATTGACTTTCATTGTTAGAGCTTGCAGATTATTTGCACTTTCAGCTACCAGAGTAGTGTCTTCAGTATAGCACAGGTTATTGATGTTTGTTTCAATAGGTTCAAAATCATCTTCCAATCCACGAGTTTCCTTCAATATATATTCTGCATATTCTGCATTCCCTTGAATAAATAAGGGAAGAGTATGCAGCTTTGTTACATTCCTTTGCCAACCTTTGATCTTATCAATTAAGCAAATGTCATCTTGCGGCACCTGGCAAACATGCCAAGTCTGCTGGAATTCCTGCCCTCTGGAATTATCTTCATCCAGAGATTCTACCAAGCTTCCAACCTTTATACTGTTCATGAAAGAATTGAAGATTTGGTTGTTTACCCGGCTTTGGAGGTAGGATGTTTCTAGAACCCCTTTTTTGTCTTTTGCTTTTGTGTTGATTTTATCTTGATTCCTTTTCTCTACTGATCTGTTATATCTTTTATGTGTATATGTTTCTCTGTGTGTGCCTCTGTGTGTATTTTCTATGTTTTGCTAATTGTAAGCTGCCCAAAGTGGTTTGGGAGTTGGATAGCCAAACAATCAATAAACCTAGAGTCACTTCTCTGTTGCCATGTTCTATTCATGTTTGCTTTCCTGATTAGCATAGAGGTTTTGCCTTAAGTATTAGAAGAAGTAAAACAGGATTGATCACTGGAAGCACAAATAATTCAGCTAAAGCTTAAACATTTTGGACACATAATACAAATACAAGAATCGTTGGGGAAAAAATCGTGATGTTTGGAAAACTTCAGAGGCAATTGAAAACAAGGCTCAGCTTGCAAGAACACATCTGACAGATAATCCTAGTGATTGTGTCTGACAGGTCTCAAAAATTTAGGAGCAACTAGATTAGGAAAGTTAGGACAAATAAGAAATAAATAAAATTCATGTCCTGCTTGTAAGCTTCCCAAACATGTTTAGATGAAACAAAATGTCTGACAGAGACAAGTGACAACCTCAGTGCCAGTGGTTGAATAAAAGACAAAAGCATGCAGAATTCCTAACTACCAAGCCTTTCCTTTGCTCCTATGGAGCATTACATAAGATTACATACAACAGGCACCATGTAAATACCACACATGGAACAGCACACACTCTGCTGGAGAGAAGTTCCCTGAAGATGGGCTCCAGCATGAGTTGGAAAGCTTATAGGACAAAAACTCTGGTCCCGGTGACTGACCTCAATTGGATCCTGCAACATTATCCTGGGACATGTATATTCACCTTCATTTGTAAGATGCGAAAGACTATTGCTATTCATTCAATAGTCACTCTAAAAACTACCTTGGCAACATTATTCTACAGCAGGGGTGAAATCCAGCAGGTTCTGACAGGTTTTGGGGATCGGTAGCGGAAATTTTGAGTAGTTTGAAGAATCAGCAAATACCACCTCTGGCTGGCCCCAGGAGTGGGGAGGGAATGGGGATTTTGCAGTATCCTTCCCCTGCCACGCCCACCAAGCCACACCACGCCACCAAGCCACGCCCACAGAACCGGTAGTAAAAAAAATTGGATTTCACCACTGTTCTACAGCCACTGTATGATAGGACAAGCATCTGTGTGCAACATGTAACATGCATTAGTGCACACAGGAGCACATCTTTATACAACAGGACTTGAAATATTTAATTTCTTCCATTAGTAAATGTTTGAAATATTTAACAATGTTTCCAGTTAACTGGATAGCAGATTTGTGAAGGATTATTATTTTACATGGAGCAGCGTTAATGTTTTTGCTGTCTGTCTCATGTTGGAAATGTCTCTTGTCTGAGATATTAAAAAAAGCCAATATATTGTACTACAGGTAGTACAGTCCCCAATTTATAACCATTCATTTAGTGACCATTCAAAGTTACAATGACACTGAAAAAAGGGACTTATGATCATTTTTCACACTTAACCACCATTGTAGCATCCCCATGGTCATGTGATCAAAATTCAGAGGCTTGGCAGCTGACTCATATTTATGACGGTTGCAGTGTCCTGGGGTCACATGTTCATCTTTTGAGACCATTTGACAAGCAAAGTCAATGGGGAAGCCAGATTCACTTAATAACTGTGTTACTAACTTAACAACTGCAGTGATTCATTTAACAATTGTGACAAGAAATGTCGTAAAACGGGGCAGCCCTCATTTAACAAACATCTCACTTAACAACAGAAATTTTGGGTTCAATTGTGATCATGAGTCAAAGAATATCTGTACATCCATCTGATAGAATCACTACATATCTTTCTTTTTTTGGAGAGCCAGTCATTAATTGACCAATAATATGAAATTAACTTACTAAAATTTCTTTGATCAGATAGTCCTGCTAAAATCTCTACTTTATATTGACTGTTTCCCTATGACTATCATTAAGTATTGTACCTTATGATTCTTGATGAATGTATCTTTTATTTTATCTACACTGAGAGCATATACACCAAAGACAAATTCCTTATGTGTCTAATTACACTTGGCCAATAAAAATTCTATTCTATTCTATTCTATTCTATTCTATTCTATTCTATTCTATCTATTTCTATTCTATTCTATTCTATTCTATTCTATTCTATTCTATTCTATTTATATTCTGTACAAGTGCTGAGTTCCATTTTCTTCTGAAGCCTGTCTTGAAGTTTAAAAAAATGATCCGTATCACTTTGCTAAGCCATTCACGACAGGATGTACTGTAAATCTGAGACTCGGGTGGCCTTCATGCTTTCAGAACTGAAAAAGTAGCCATTATTTCTTCGGTCTAGTATACTATGAATAATTTGATGCCTGTAACACCTAGTAGTGATTAATAACTCTCAGTCTGAAAACTCTATCTTCAGATTGACTTTGCAAATTGAATCTGCAAACTGTCATGACTGGAACACCTGCCTCAATTGCTGAAATTTTGGTGTGCTTCCCCATTCATTCTTTTTTTCTTTCTGGGGGCCATTTTGGCTGCAAAGCAGAGAACTCTCAATTTAGGAGGTGGGGGGTGCCTTTGAGGTAGTGTTAGCAACTGCCTGGACAGATGCCTGCAGTTTTCATGTCAAGATTTCAGAAGTGGTTTGCCCTTACCTTCTTCCTAGGGCTGAGATAGAGTGACAGGCCTAAGGTCATCCAGCTGGTTTCATATTTAAGGCAGAACTAGAATTCCTGGTCTCCCGGTTATAGCATGGTGCCTCAACCGTCATTTTGATTCACACACATACAAATATACATATACAGACAGACACATATTCATATAATACAAACTCTATTTCACTGAGGGCCGCATCAGGGTTGTGTTTGACCTCGGGGAGCCGGGGTGGGCATGGCCAGGGTGGGTGTGGCCACCTCAATGTCTGTTTTTGCCTGTAACTGCCTCCTGTACCTCTGTCAGGGAAAATGTTTTCACTGGCAGAGACACCGCGGGCCGGTCCTTCACTATTTCCAGGGCGCCCCCATGGGCCAGATCTAAGCATCCCGTGGGCCCTGCGGGCCTTGAGTTTGATATCCCTGATATATATAATACATTATGTGAGTTTAAAGTTGCTTTGTTTGCTTTTCTCTTTATGCAGAAGTTCTACTCTCTCTTTGCAGCAACAATTTGCATTTATCTAAAAAGCGAAATCTCCCAGACAGCCTGAAGACATAAGGGATCCCTAGAGCAATATTACTTATGCATAGATAAACTGTTATTAGAACTAAATATCTCCTAAATTAATACTTGGAACAGTTATTTTCATTTCTGCAAAGTCTCTGTTATTCCTCTGTCTTACCATGTTTAAATGTATGGTACATGCATACATAATGTGTTTGTGTATACATATATGCCCAGATACAGATGCAAATTCATACATAAATTATATTAACAGTACAACTTTGTTACGCTTTCCATTCAGAAATTATTGGGGGGTGGGGGAATCAGGAGAAAATTTAACACTGAACAGTGTGTTTGTTGTCCCAAGCAGCTGTCAGTCACTGAAGCAAAAGAGCAACAGGAGCTGAAAACTTTGTTGCGTTGGCACCGTCTTATGGATGAAGTGCAGAATTCAGAAGGGGATCTTCAGGTTTTAAGGTATAGTTCAGGCTGCTTACTTTGACGGGGTATTCCCCTTCCAGGTTGTTTTTCCTCTGAAAACTAAGCATATCCAAATGATCAGATTAAGTCATTGCATTTTTTCCTCCCAAAGAGGATATTGGAAAATTTGAATGAGCCAAAGTGATGTAAGGCTAGTGAAGACAAATTAAAGAAAACAAATCTGGAATGCAGTCCTGTGCAACTCAGTGGGATTTATTTCTGACTATATAAGTTTGGGTTGTAAGTTGCTACTGGAATAATAAAAAGAAACTTAATTGCCTTAAATGTTGATTCTAGAAAAGAATAAAAGATTTCCTTTCTCACATAATTTCTTTATTTATTTGAACCACAAATTCTGTTGGACAGAGCTTTCTGTTTTCTGTAGAACCATTACAGAGAATATCAACTGAGAATATTAATATGTGGAAGACTTATTTAAAGAACACACGTGTGTGTGTGTGTGTGTAATTCACTGATTGGTTCTAAAACATACTGACTCTATTACGTACTGTTGAATGCAGACCTGAAGCTGGATTTGGCACTACAGTTTACCTGTGCTTATGCTCCAAGTCTTAAAAGTATAAACCCCATTCTATGAAATTGTTCAGAGAAATAGTTAATTCATGGTTGGCTTTGCTTGTGTTTTATTATTCCATGGAACGACTCCAGCCTTCCAATAGCATGCATAGTTATGCATGGAATTCAGATTGGAGTATACTGCTATTCATGTATTTATGTGTAATGCTTCACAGAAGGTTGCAGCCCAAATCTCTAGTCTAGACAATTGTGTATAGGAAGTCTCTGTGCAGAGCAGGATTTTATTCTGAAACAGTATATCCACTGAAATTCATTCCATGTTGGTTTTCGAACTACCCCTGTTTGAAAATTAAACTTTTCATATAAGGACTAAATGCACAGAATTCATTATCAACTTCTCCCCATGTTGAAATCTAAATGATAGGTCTCTTCTGTCCTTCAGATTCAAAGGTGAAAATCTGTTTTTTTCTAGCATCGGGTTATAGTTAGAGAGGGCAGCATGACCTTTGTGGCCATTTTTCACATGAGTGTCCCAAAGGTGCTTTTTTTCAAGAGGCAACTGGACTTTTTTGTTTTTCTTTGAAGGTGTTCTGTTTCTCATCCAAAAAGCTTCTTGAGCTCTGAAGAAGCTTCTTGGATGAGAAGCGAAATGTCTTCAAAGAAAAAAAAACCAAGGCAGTCCAGTTGCTTTTGAAAAAGCTCCTTTGGGCCAACCATGACCTGGATGACTGAGAATCTCCATAGACATTTTTCACATGATTGCCGCATCCTTATTGTCATGTGATTGAAATTCGGGCATTTGGCAACTGACAGGTATTTATGACAGTTACATGTCCTGGGGTCATGTGATTATCATTTGAAAGCATCCAACAATAAAAGTCAAAGAGGAGAAGCAGACTCACTTAACGAGAGCATGAATCATTAACAGCAGGGATTCATTTAACAACTATGACAAAAAAGTTGTAAAATGGGGCACAATTCACTTAAAAACTGCTTTGAATAGCAATGGAAATTCTGGGCTCAGTTTTGGTTGGAAGTTGAGGACTATCTGTATAATCGAGAAGAGCAATATGAGTGTCCCCCATCACTGAAGCTCCATTTTGCCCTCAGATCTAAAGGCTACACAACCCTAATGAAATCACCTCCAAAGATGAGATGCCAGGGAGCTTCTCAAAACCCATTTTATATAGTTTGAAATGTTAAAAGAGATGTATATTCATCCTGAGATTCCATTAGCTTACATAACTTCCAAACTTAGAGCCAAGAGCTGATACGAAATTTTTAAGAACATTTAAAAGATTAGTCTCACCCACTCCTACTTTTTAAAAATCTTCCTCAGATAAATTAGGCCCAAAGAGAGTGACTAGATGAAAATAATGTCATAGTTGGGGATTTCAAAGCTTTCTACTTTTAACATTTCTCTGCTACAATAGTTGTCCTGTGAGTCTTTCACTGTGTCCAGCTCCTGTTTGACCTTTCAGGGTGTTTCTGAAAGCGTAAATCTAAGTCCAGCAAGAATTAGTGAAGCTGGTTTTATAGTTATAATAGAAAGGAGATGGATGTACAGGACATGCATTACATTTTTAGGCCAAACCTACCACCTAGCTTCCTGGCAAATGGATGGGGAAGAAATGGAGGTAGTGACAGATTTTATTTTCCTGGACTTCAAGATCACCACAGATGGGTACTGCATCCAAGAAATTAAAAAACATTTGCTCCTGGGAAGGAAAGCTATGGCAAATCTAAACAGCATATTAAAAAGCAAAGACATCACCCTGCCAACAAAAGTGTGTATATTCAAGGCTATGGTTTTCCCAGTTGCAATGTATGGCTGTGAAAGTTGGACCATAAGAAAGGCTGAGTGCCAAAGAATTGAGGCCTTTGAGCTATGGTGCTGGAGAAGACTCCTGTGAGTCCCTTGGATTGCAAGGCGAACAAACCTGTCAGTCCTAGAGGAGTTCAACCCTGACTACTCTTTAGAAGGCCAGATCCTGAAGATGAAACTCAAATACTTTGGTCACCTAATGAGAAGGAAGGACTCACTGGAGAAGAGCCTAATACTGGAAAAGATTGAGGGCAAAAGAAGAAGGGGACGACAGAGAATGAGGTGGCTGGATGGAAGAACGTTGTCCATGGGATTGCAATGAGTCGCACTCACAACTAACAACAACCACCACCTAGCTAGCTATATCCTGCGAGGAGGAGAGTCTAAGACCATATGCTCTGTGTGAGAGTGAAGGCTGAAGGAAGTCACCTACACTGGCTGGGGAATTCTGGGAGTTGAAGTCATTAAACTTGTTGATGTAGAGAAGCACTGTCTTAGACAAACATCAGGCAGAGTGTTAGTGAATAAGGGGCACCGGTAAAGCCTTAACCTTCTATCTACCCAGTACACCACAGGGTTATCAATAGGTCATAAGGAGCTGAAGAGCCTGTGCTGTTGGATTCACACCTCCAGCATGCCTAGCTTCCCTTCTCATTTAAATAATCAAATTCAATTCTCATATTTCCAACAATGCCATTTGATAATAGATGTGGATAGAAGAGGCTGCCTTATCATTATCTTCCATGCAGCTGCTGATTGACAGAGTGACTGGTGGTGGTTGCTTTTTTACAGTGTATACAGGTTTGCATGTGTGTATGGATTGTTGTGATAGAGGCCTAACTGTGGCAGATGCAGCCAGATGCTTCAGTTCGGATTTCTGAACAGAATTGGACCTTGTTGCTTTCTGTACCCTTTCAATTCAATTACATTTTAATTTTTAAAACCACATTTTAGCTACTTTGAGAAATATGATGAAGCACAATAGTACATGAGCACACAATAGATACAAACTTAAAGTGAACCGCTCCAAACTTGATTGCAGAAAATATGACTTCAGCAACAAGTGGTCAATGTCTGGAATTCACTACCTGACTCTGTGGTTTCATCTCAAATCTGCCAAAATTTTAACCTTAGACTGGCTACCTCACCCCATTCCTAAGAGGTCTGTAAGGAGTGTGCATAAGCGCACCAGCGTGCCTATCGTCCCTGTCCAAATGTTCCCTTTAAGTGTATTCATTTTATGTATTCAATTCATGCTTATACTTATATATATATACTGTATTATCTAATACGTACTTGACAAATAAACAAACAAACAAACAAATAAAAATATGAGATTCTCTTACAGAGTGTAACCTGCCATTGACGGCAGCTTTTTAAATAAGTTCAATTTTAATAGCATTTTTCAACTATTAAAACTTGTGATATATTGCCGTATAAATGTCAAAAATATAACATAAAACCAACATTTAGCCGCTATTTATGCTGGAAACTGTACAGAAAGAAGAAATAAAGTAGATAAAGGGATTGGAGCAACTCCCAGTATCAAAAGACAACGAGATAAGCTAAAATAATTGGCTAATAAATATAACAAAAAAATTTAATGGACTGCTGATGGTTTTTTTGTTTGCAAAACAGCAAGTGGTGCATTTGTCAGAAGGTTGCAAAAGGTGATTCCATGAACTTGGGACACTACAACTGTCATAAATACATGCCAGTTGCCCAGTGTCTGAATTTTTATTACCTGACCATGGGGATGCCTAACAGTCATTTGAAAAATGGTCGTAAGTTATTCTTTCAATGCTATTGTATCTTTGAACTGTCACTAAACAAATTGTAATAAGTTGAGGACTATCTGTATAGAAACCAGCTTTCATGAGAACTTATATAAATGCTTCACTGTAGTATGTTATCATTTGTATTGAAACAGAACAAGGTGTGTGTGTGTTTAAATCTATGCTGTAAACAGAATAATTTAATGATACGGCTAGTATAAAAATTCTGTAAATGAATGCATTTCTGGTAGAGCTACAGGGGTTGACCACTAATTGATGAAGAATAGAATCAATCAGAACTGGTAGAGGATATTGCAGACCTCCTGAATGAAAATTTGGAAACCAAAACATAGTATGTCATTGTTTTTTAAAGGAAGAAATTATAAAATAGAAGAAAAATGAGGGAAAACCTGGCACATTTTAAACATGGTAGACATAGATGAAATAAGATGTTTTTACTTGATAGGTATGGCCTTGTGAGATGCTAAAATGAAGTCTGGAAAAAAGCAATCAAAATGTGTAACTGGATTTTTTTTTTTCATCTAGAATGTTTCCATCTCTTCTCATTTCCCTTTGCTATGATGTGATGATCCTGTCTGTATAATATATCTTAGCAGAATGCCACACGATATGATATAATGTCTGGGAGAAGAGTTAAGTAGCTTCACACCAGCTTAACTTGGGCTATCGCTTCAGAGTCAGCTGTTTATTTAGCCATGCAAACAATATTACAGTAGAAAATTGTATTATTGCACTACTTTTCCACGATGAGAGTTTCATTGAACAGAGATTTCAGAACTGAGTCCGTGAATCAAATATTATGCTGTTCCTGTTTTTAATCAAGTGTTTTGATAATGAAATTTTATGAAATAATAAATATATTTCTGTCACTTTGTCTAAAATTATGTTACTGTTTTGTACCCTTTTAGGCCAAACAAAGAGAAAACGGGCAAAGTAACTGAATCTGGTTCTTCTGTAGTCAAACATGGCCTCAATGCTGAAAAAATCTTCATGCAGGTTCACTACCTAAAGGTCAGAATGCTTAATGCTCTTATTGGAAACCAAATGTTTTATGCACAGAAATTTAACGTGTCGATATTATGTTTTCAAAGCCCTAGAACCGTGATGGCGAACCTATGGCACACGTGCCACAGGTGGCATGTGTAGCCATATCAGTAGGCACGCCAGCTCAGCTCTGGCACGTATGCGCACTCCGGCAAGCTGATTTTCGGGCCTTCTGGGCCCACCAGGAGTAGGAAAACAGGCTGTTTCCTGCCTCCGGAGGGGCTGGAGGGGGTGGGAAAGGCCCGTTTTTCTTTCTTACCTCTATTTATCTGGGAAGGGCAAAAACAGCCTTCCCCACTCCCTCGGAGGCCCTCCAAAGGCCTGAAACGGCCCATTTCCCAACTCCCGGTGGGACAGGAAGTGACTTTTTTGCTGTCCCAAGCCTCCAGAGACTCCTAGAGAGGCTCTGGAGGCTGGGGACAGTAAAAAACATCACTTCCTATCTCACCCGGGAATTGGGAAATTAATCCTTTCAGCCCTTCACTCCTCTGAGGGAATGGGAAAGGCTCTTTTCACCCCTTCCCAGATGCATAGAGAGGATCTGGAGCCAGGTAAGAAAGAAAAACGGGCCTATCAGGCCATCACGTGCCAAGAGCGGGGGCGAGGGGGGATTGCACACACATGCGCAAGGCAGGCGCATAGAATTATGGGTGTGGACACCGGCATGTGCGAACCTCCCCCGCCCCCCCCCCCCTCCTGGCACGCGATGGCAAAAAGGTTAATCATCACTGGCCTAGAACATCTTATATGAACCTGTTCAGATTTTGTGATTTGGTATAGTGCATTCAGAAATGCAGGTGTATGTATCTGCACCATATACCTTCAGAATTTTTCTAAATCTTAGAGAGTGGGATGGAGTCATACTTCCATGCAAAAACCCATTCCATTTAATACATAATGCAATCCTGCAATTTCATGTACAGTGATCCTGGGAAACAACCAAGAAGATTGGCTACTCAGAAAACAGAGTTCTAGATAATGTTTCTGTGGTCTCTATGAATCACAGAAAGAGGCTAGTAGCATGTGTTACTTGGACACGGGGTTACATTTTGATGTCATCAAAATTTGGGCACTTGGCAACTGACATGCATTTATGGCGGTTGCAGCATCCCTGGGTCATGTGATTACAATTTATGACCTTCCTGTCTGGCTTACAACAAGCAAAGTAACAAGCAACAGGGAAGCCAGATTCACTTAACGGCCAGCTTGTTTAGCAATGGAAATTTGGTCCCAATTGTGATCATAAACCAAGGACTACCTGCATAATTATCTAACTGATAAGAATAATTTAGAAATATTTCACTGATTGTTTTTGTTAAACAGTTAGCAATAAACAGCCTAAAACCCCAAACAATAAAAAATAAAGAAATCATAAATGATAGTGTGTAAGTTTCCATTGCCATAATTTATTGGCCAGATGAGGTCTAGGTAAATACCATGTAAGATAATGACTGTATGCTGACATTTTGTTAGTCATTTTGCTAACTTCAGAGCAAATCTGAAACAGAACTGTCCTGTCTTGGTTTCTTCTAGGGTTATTTCTTGCTTCAGACTTTCACAGAAAAAATTGGAGAAGCTGCATATTTTGCTTTTTTAAGAAAATACGTGCAAGCATTCCATGGACAATTGATACTGTCTCAGGTACTTCTGCACTTTTTCTTGCTGAAAGAATATCAGAGAAATTAAATAGTATGTATGTGATCTTCAGAGATAGCATTGTTCAAAGAGAGCAGGATGAGCGGCATTCAGTTTATAAAAATGTTAAAATAATATGCGAAAATTTGGAAAGGTCTTATTATAATATCTAAATAATCTTTCATGCCATTTATGGAAATGGACTAAGGTATAAATTTTGGAATTTCAGTTTCTATCTCCCATATTCTTACAGTATATACGGTATATTATAATCCTGAAGTAGAATGGTTATGAGGATGCTAAAACACAGGTCCAAACTGGGCAACAATAAATGGAAAATTGCAAAGATGAAAACATTTTTTTTTAAGATACAGTCATTGAAATTAGGATTTAACAGTCAACCAGAAATATAAGGCAAGAGTATTTTTGAAAAGGTATTTTCTTTAATTTGATTTTTTGAAATAGGACATAATAGAATGACCTTTTGATGTGTGTTTGCACCTTTCATATACAATCAGTAATATAGCTTAAAATTATGGCTAGTCAGAGTAATAACTATTTTGATAATATTGTGTACATATAGAAACGGAGCTACCAAATGAAAGGATTGTAACTACTTGTCAAAAGCAGTATGTAGAGCAAGCCAAATCCAAAAATGCTGGAAATGCTGGCATTTCAGACAAATCTGCCATAATAGACCCATAGGTATACAAGCAGTCCTCATTTACTGACACCCAATTGGGACCAACAATTCCAGTGCTAAGCACCACAATCATTAAGTAAAAAATCATGTAAGCATTTCGGAATTGCAATGTCACTTCCATGTCGTTAAATGGATCACTGGGATCATTAAATGAGATATCACATGATTGCAAATTGCGTTTTCACTTCCGCTTTCCAAATTAATTCTGCTTGTTGGAAGCTAGTGAAGCTCAGAAATGACGATTACCTGACCATAAAATGCTCCAACAGCTGCAATGTAAGGACTGATTGCAGGGTCTGTTTTCTTTTACATGATCGTGATTTTGAGCAGTTGCTAAACAAGGCAGTGAATAACTGAGACTATCTGTAAACCACATTTATGCACCATTTAAAAAAGACAACAAAAATTTAGGAAGGAAAACAAAAAGATTACAACACAGCTCCAGCATCCTACATTTAGATAAGCAGGGATCAGGGCCAGACAGGCAGACAATCAGACAGAAAACAATACCCTAATCAAGGAACCACCAAGGAGGAATCTACACCCCCACCAAAGTAGGACAAGCAACTGCGTACAGGTAGTCCTTGACTTATGACCACAATTGAGCCCCAAATTTTTGTCGCTAAGCAAGGCAGTTATTAAGTGAGCTTTGCCCCACGTTACGACCTTTCTTGCCACGATTGTTAAATGAATCACTGCAATTGTTAAGTTAATAACATGATGTTAAGTGAACCTGGCTTCCCCATTGACTTCGTAAGTGTGAAAAATGACCATTTTTCACTTCTTTCAGCACCGTTTTATCTTCAAACAGTCACTAAATGAATTAAGTCACTAAATTAAGTCCTTGACTTAAATAAAGTAAGTCAAGGACTATCTCTGTAAACAGATAGCAAACCCCATGTTTATTAGCAGTGATGATGTTATCTAGTTGGGTTAATGAAATGTCTGCCCACAAACAACCAAGCTCAAAGAGCACCAAGACTTTTACTATATGCAGTTATTCTGTCCTTCTACTTGTTACTAGATTTTTTTCTAGTAGGCAAGTGAGATTTCTCCCTAGAGAAAAGAATTGGAGACCTTCAAATCAAAGTACACATTATCACTTGAAACTTACAATGATTGCACAATAAAAGCCTTCTCTAGAATTACCCAACAATGTTTCTGAACATGGCTTGGTCAACATTATAGTGATGATAATGCTTAGTTTATTTTATACCTCAGCCATAAATATATTTTCTTAACAGTAAATCTCGGAGAGTTAAATGTGCTTATGTGTTGCCAAATAAGATTCAATTGCAAATGAGAAAAGTGTAGTACTGCAATCTAACTATATACCAGCTAACACCATGCATTATTTCTGTTGTGAACAGTATTGAAGAGGTAAGAGATTTCAATTTGTTTCACTTAGCTCTGCTAGCCTGATATTAAATCAATTTGGTTAGCAAATTACATAAATATTGCAAAACATTGGAGGATCTCAGCTCATAAGGCTATTAGTCATTGTAGTAAGATCATGTTACAATGGAGATGCTAATCCGCTGGTCATTTTCTTTTTGCCTAGCAGCCTGCTGTGAAATCTGGTTTATAAATTCCCCAGCTGCTCTCTCACCATATGAAACATTTCATTCTTGTTCTTATCCTAGAGGCAAATGTTTACAAATTAGATTTTAAAGCTAATATCAAATAATTTACCTTTTAGTTATTTAGATGTGGTAAGAATATTTTCTTACTCAAGATTCTGCAATTCAGCATTCTCCCTAATAGGAAATTGGACTTGTGGCATACGGTTTTGAAGTCCCAGATCCCACATGTTAATGTCACAACAAACAATGGAACAAAATCTCGTAAGAGTGAGGAAAACAAAATTTCCCTAACTTTCATTCTAACACTCATCTAATTGTATTCCAAAAGGTTGCAAGTTAAGCTTTGATTCAACGTGTTTTCAGACAATATGTTTACATAGACTTAGATTTTTGTGTGCATGCCATGGATCTGTCTCTGTGCTTGAGAGACTGCAATTTTTTTATTCACCCTGAAATATATTCACTTCTGTTGCAAGATGAGATCAGGGGCAGGTAACCATTTTATGGCCCCCGGCAGCACTTTTAATAATACTATTTTTGGCAGCTAGGCACTGCAAAGGGTGGAGCAGTTACATCATACGAACGGACAAGTTTGTTTTTGTTTTATTTTTTAGTTAAAGTGCACTATGCCTATACAAATAAGTCTGCAGGAATGTGTATCAGGATTTTCATGACTGGCGATTCGATTTGAATTCATTCCTTCTTTGCAGTACAGAACAGGAAGAATTATCTGAAATCTTCTGCAAGTCACAGGGTTCATATCTAAA